CCCCCCCCCCGCCGTTCCCTGGGCTGTATCCGCTGGGCTCTGCCCGCTGTCCGAAGCACAAACCCTGGAAAACCCAAGGCGGGGGGGGGTGGAAGCCACGACAATGTGCCTTTTCTTCACCCCGGGGAACGAAGCTGCGCTGCGGCGTCTGGGAGCGGGGGCTGCTCTCCTGGTGCTGCTGTGTCAGCAGCCAGGCACGGGGAGGTTACTCAGCCCCCGCAGCACCCTGTGGGCAGCTGTGTCTTGTCTTCAAAGCGCCTCTTCTGTTGCTTTTCTCTCTTAGGGGCAAATTTTACTGCTTGCAGAGGGAACCGAGGAAGAAACAACATCTGTTGGTTTTTTGCTATTGTCCTAGTGCCTTTTTTCTACATGTTTATCTGCAAAATGTTGTCCAGAGCCTAACACGGCTTTCTAGTGTCTTAGCTGCTGTGCAGGCAGAGAAACCGAGGCACCGAGCGGCTTGCTGCCGGGCGTGGGGATGGAGCAACGAGAGCTGGAGCTCGTCTTTCTGTGGCAGTTCAGTCCCCTCTCCTAGCGGGGTGACAGCCACTGCCCTTGGGTCCAGGGGCTGCAGGAGACCTGTTTCTTCAGATTTAGAGAACAGTGACATTTTTCTGTGTCTTCCCTTCTGCAGGCTCTGTGCCCTGTCCCAGACGTGGCCGAGGGGGTGGCAGCTGGTCTGGGAGCGGTGTCCAGGCTGGGTGCAGAGGGGCCGAGGTCCCGTGGGGTGGAAAGGCACCGTCGCAGCTCGGCGAAGCAGCGCGCCGGCCTGCGGGGAATTTACGAGTAATCTTTACAGTGAGGGTGGTGAAACCCTGGCAGGGGTTGCCCCGAGAGGGGGTGGAGGCCCCATCCCTGGGAACATTCCAGGCCAGGTTGGCCGGGGCCGTGAGCAACCTGATGTGGTTCAGGGTGTCCCTACTCCTGCAGGGGGGTTGGGCTGGGTGACCTCTGGGGGTCCCTTCCCACCCAAACCATTCTGTGATTCTGTGAAGCTGTGCCACTGCCGCAGAAGGGGCAGGAGCTGCAGGTTGTGGCCAGGTTTTGAATCGGAGCTCTGCTTGCTCATCATTATCGTCTGCATTGAGTAAAAGCTGATGTGAAGCTGCCAGTTCCCTGGGCTGAGGATGCTTCGTGCCAGCCATTCCTTTGTGTTCCTCTGGGGAACTTGTTGTGCCCAGCAGCCAGACGCGGCGTGGCTGGGATTTGGCCAGGCCCTCGGCTCCAGGCTGGGGGGGTGGGTCTGCATTGAGTAAAAGCTGATGTGAAGCTGCCAGTTCCCTGGGCTGAGGATGCTTCGTGCCAGCCATTCCTTTGTGTTCCTCTGGGGAACTTGTTGTGCCCAGCAGCCAGACGCGGCGTGGCTGGGATTTGGCCAGGCCCTCGGCTCCGGGCTGGGGGGGTGGCCGGGGCGGTGGGGGTGGTCTGGGGGTACAATGCCTCTGTAACAAGCCTCAATTCATAGCCCATTGCTGCGAGCCTGCCAGCTTGCTGGAAGGACTCGCGTCCCGCTGCTGTAGCTGCTTGGAGATTTAAGGGGACTGGCTGCTTTCCTCCAGCGCCGGGGGCTGTAAAAAGGGAGAGGGCACATGTTTGCTTTCTGCTACAAGTTTTTTTTTTTTGACGCTTCAGCAGAGCTGTGGGCAGCCAACGGTTTCCATTCGGTTTCTCTTTCCAGCTCCAACCCGCGCTCGCTGCGTGCTCTCACCCACCGCTTTGCTCCTTCCCTCCACCCTGGGGGGTGCAGGGCGGTGCTGCGGGGGAGCAGTCACATCCCTCGGACCGCTTAATTTTACGTGTGAATCCGATGATACATGCAGGTTTGCATGGGGGTAACGAGGCGGAGGAGGAGGAGGGAGGAAGAGCCGGTCGCCCTTTAAGCGAAGCCCCGTTGCATCGCTTGCCAAGAGCCTTGGGCCCTTTCAGCCGAAGCCAGATCCGCCGTTCCCACCGCAGCACCCGTCACCCTTAGCAACAGGCATCTCTGCACCGTTGCCGTGGGAACGGCAGCTGGGTAGCGGGAGGACATCCCCCACCTTGTGCATCTCCCACCCAGATGTGCCTCCAGCCCAGGGGCTGCTTGTGCCGCTCCTCAGCCTGCGCTGCCCTGGGCGAGTGGTCCGGGTTCTGGTGGGGCCTCCCTGGGGACGTTAATTTGTCCCCCCCCGCCCCCTGTGTGGGTCAGTGTTCTGGGAGATGCTGGTTCTCCTCCCATCCTTCCCTGGCTCTGCACCAGAGCCAGCTCCCGTTCCTGTACTGCTCAGGGTGCAGCCCGAGAAGCCCCATGGCTATTTAGGGGGGGAGGAGGGCTCTCTCCAGGACTCGTTATCAGCCCCACATGCGGTGAGGGCTGTAACCTCTCCGAGCGTTTGCCACCACCAGCCGGGGTGGAGCAGAGCCGCCCTTCCCTGGGCTTTGCTTTTGCTCCGGACGGGGAGCTGCTGCCATGCCAGCGGTGGACTTGACTGCGGGCTCGTGGTGGGAATTTGCTACCGAGGGCGTTTGCGTCCATGAAATGCAGCTCGCCGCAGCAGCGCCTGTCAGCCCCGCGGGCGACGGTCCTTGTTGCCAGCTCTGCCGGCCTCGGGGGGGGTGTGTGTGTGTGTGTCAAAATGTGGCATCCTTCCCCCTTTGCAGGGAGGGAACCGAGGCACAGGGGCGAAACGAACTGACTTGGCTGGTGATGGGCAGCGAGGCTGCAAGAGGGATTTGAGGCTGAGCTCAGCATCCTAAATTCAGCCCCAGCTGAGGCGGGCAGGGGGCTCTGCAGCTCGCTGTCATGGCACCGTGGTGAGCTGCCCCATAGCTGGGCTGTCCCCATAGCTGGGTTGCTTCTGGGCTCTGCTGCATGGAGACACAAATAATTCATGGTTTCTGGGCTCAGGACTTTCTGTCTCTGCATTATTTATTCACCCTTTGAGCTTCCTTCTCTTTTTCCTGTTGGAAGAAGCCTTGGCAGCAGCAGGTTCCTGGTCTCGCCGAGGACCGGCCGTGCTCTGCGTGCGAGATGCTCGGGGGAGGCCAGAGCTGTGCCCCGCTAGCTGCGGGGGGTACGGACAACTTGGCAGAGCTTTGTGGGGCCAGCGCGTCCAGGTCTGACCAGTGCTGGGAAATTCAGAGCTTAGAACAAAGCGCTTTTAGGCTGGGACAATGCTTGGAGTGGAGTCCTTTGAAAATGTGATGCAGAGAGGGGCTAAAAGCCAGACCAGGCGCTGCCTGGGGACAGCTGGGGCCTTAATATAGCCTTTGAGCATGGAGGGGCTGAGCGCCGGCTGCAGAAAGTGCTGACCCGGGGCAGAGTACGGTTACTTTGCAGGCATTTTGTTTTCATCTCGAGCTTATCTGGTCTCTCCCTCGGGAGCTCTCAGCCGGGGCGGGGGGGCCTTTGGGTGTTATCTGTGTTGCAGGCTGTGATGATTCCCCCTGGACCCTGAGCAACGCTCCCCTGCGCCGATGCTCCCCTGCAGCCACGGCCGGGCTGCTACGGCTCCGTCGCTCCTGTGACGAGAAGCAGAAATGGTGCCTGGTGTTGCTCAGCTGCCATGGAGGGAAAACATCCATGCCCGGAGCCCCGGCTGAGCCGAGGGCATGCTCGGTGCGCGGCATCACTCGCTCTCGGGCACACGGACTAAGGCGCAGGGTAGCGTCAGCCACTCTGTTTGACTCCCGGGGAGCTGAGCCTGTTTAATGCCGGGGCTTTGTTTTTAACTGCGATTTGCAGGTTGCCCCTGGCCTCGGTGGCCCAGCTCCCTCGCTGCTGTGGAGCCCAAGTGTTGCGAGAGCCGGGTGGTACTCGTCATCCTCGGGAACTGGGGGAACTCGGGATGAGACAGTTCTGTTCTGCTGCGCGCCAGCAAGCTGCAGAACTGCTCTTCCTCCCTGCCCTCGCGTCGGACATATCGAGGGAGGCTTTGCCTCCTATTTCTGAGTCCTGACCAGCGTGGGGGTGCCGCAAACCACAGTGGCGGTGGCGAAACCAGCAGCATTTCAGTGCTGGTCAGATGGAAAAAGCTGCTGGGAATATGGGTGAGCAGGGGTGGGTGTGAGAGAGCAAGAGGACCCAGTGCCCCAGCCTGTGCTGGCCTGCAAAGCTGCCCCCTCCAGTGCTGGCTGGGCACGCGGGGGGGTCTGGTGCCGTGCTGGCGGGGGCGCAGCGGCGCCTGGGCGTTTAGGGCTCTGCGAAGCCTCTGCTCCCCCAGTCCAAAGGTGCTTTTCTGAGAGCTGGCAGCGCCGCAGGGTCCGTAGGGACGAGGCAGTATCGTTACGGCTTCTGCTCCTGGGTTTTCCTTGTGCAGATAGGACTTGGGGTTTATTTTCTTAGTTCTGCAAAAGCCTGCATGGCCGGCCCCGCTCCTGGAGTGAGGGGGATGGAGCGGTGCCCGGGCCGTGGGACGCACGCCCTGGGCTTCTGCCTTCTCCACAAGGCTCCGCTTTCGCGGCTTTCCTGAGTGGCCGAGGACAAGCGGAAGGATCCCTGATTCACGTTCTCCCCCGCCTCAGGCTCTCTCTAGAGCCGCTTTGACCTCCTTATTCGTGCTGTAAGGAAGGCCAGAAAAAGGGGGTTTGCGACCCTGGTTTTGCCCTGCCCAGCAATGCACGCAGCGTACGGTGCTCGAGTCTCCTGGGGCTTTGGTGAGCTCTGCCCCAGGCTCCCCAGGGGCTCTGGGATTTTTTTTTGCTCTGAGAGACGATACTTGGGTTGTTCAGCCTGGAGAAGAGAAGGCTGCGGGCAGAGCTGAGTGCGGCCGGTCAGTACCTAAAGGGGGCCCAGAGGAAAGGTGGGGACAAGCTTTTTAGTAGGGCCAGCTGGGACAGGACAAGGGAGGATGGCTTTAAACTAAACCAGGGTAGCTTTAGACTGGATCTAAGGAAGAAATTCTTTCCAGTGAGGGTGGTGAAACTCTGGAACAGGTTGCCCAGAGAGGGGGTGGAGGCCCCATCCCTGGGAACATTCCAGGCCAGGTTGGCCGGGGCTGTGAGCAACCTGATGTGGTTCAAGGTGTCCCTGCTCCTGCAGGGGGTTGGGCTGGGTGACCTCTGGGGGTCCCTTCCAACCCAAAACATTCTGTGATTCTTCTCGCAGCCCTTCGGGGAATGGTGCAACTTGCGGCCGAAAGATGCTGCCAAGATGCCTGAGAGTGCCTGGAAGCTGCTCTTCTACACGTTATCCTGGTCGTATGGCATCTACCTGCTCTTCTTCACCGACTACCCCTTCTTCCATGACCCACCCTCTGTCTTTTACGGTACGGTAAGAACCAGGGAGAATCGGCTGTGGATTAGGACATCCAGTTTCACAGGAGCTCTGGGCTGAACAAAGGAACGGGAGTTGGGGTGGGCGACAGAGAAGAGTGAACCCCTAAATTGCCTTTTCTGTGATGCTGTGGGCGCAGAAAGGGCCCGGCAGGCTGGCTCCATCATTTCGGCACAGAGTCACCTAGTGGCTATTGCAGACAGCAGGGGCTGGGATGTGCCAGCTACTGAGGGGAATGGGATGGAGTTAAAGCAGAAGAAAGTAAATCAAGGTTTCTCCCTTTGGTGTAGGAGAAGGAGTGGGTCTAATGCCAAAGGCAGAGTCTGGGAGCTGGGATACCTGGGCTCTCTTCCAGCCTTCGCCTCCTTTGCATCCATGGGGTTTTGAATGGGAGCACCCGAGCAGAGGGAGGTGCTGGGGCCGCTCAGGGCTTGCTCCCCGCTCCTTGCCCTCCGCTCCTTGCCCTCCTGTCTCCCTGCTGCTGACGGAAGCTCTTCTGCTGGTGGCTCTGGGTTCACCCAGGTGTCTTTGTCCCACCCCAGACTGGAAGAAGGGCATGGACGTGCCCACGGACATTGCCATCGCCTACCTGTTGCAGTGCAGCTTCTACGGGCACTCCATCTACGCCACCGCCTACATGGACACGTGGCGCAAGGACTCCGTTGTCATGCTTCTCCACCACGTGGTCACGCTGACCCTCATTGCCTTCTCCTACGCTTTCAGGTGAGGTCCCCGCCTGCGACGCGGCCCCTCTGCAGCCTCGGGCAGCCACGCGGCAGAAGCTGTGGCCTTCCTGGGCTTGCGCGCATCTCGTGGGCAGTGTAGCGGGAGGACTCTTACTGGGTTGGTGTGGATTCTCCCAGTGCCCGTGAGCCATTGCACAGCACCAGACCCACCCTGCCCTGCCAGGCCTGGTTGTCTGGATCATTTGGGGAGTCTGTCTGCTCCCGGTGTGATGGTCTGTGGGTGCTGGGTGCTGACATCAACCCGCCGCCCCCACGCATCTCCCTCCCCTTTTTCCTGCAGGTACCACAACGTGGGCATCCTGGTGCTCTTCCTGCACGACGTCAATGATGTGCAGCTGGAATTCACCAAGCTCAACGTCTACTTCAAGCACCGGGGGGGAGTCTATCATCGCCTCAACGACGTCATCTCCAACATCGGCTGCCTCACCTTCAGCGTCAGCTGGTGAGTCTGTCTGCCCGATCCCACGTCCAGCTGTCCCTGCCAGCTCTCGCAGCCCCCCCCCACGGTGCCTCGGGGTACAGCCCGGCTGGGTTTGTGTGCATGGGAACAAACCCTTTCAAAAACTGCTTGGGAAGAGGTTCCCGCAGAGCCCGACCCCATGCTGGGCTTGGAATCCTTCTGTAGTCGCTTTGCCGTCTGTCACCCCAGAAGTGCCTGTGAAATCTCACTTGCAGCGTGACAAATGACCCCGGGGGGGTGGGGGTGGGGACCTGTTTCCATTTTCCCACTCGCTTGGTTTTTAGCAGTAAGAAGCGCTTCTGCAAGAAGGAAGCGGGAGGTAGGGCTGTCCCAGATTCCAGCCTTGCTACTCCTCTTGGGGCAAGGCAGGAGGGGAAAAAAAAAAAAAGGTGAAGAATAGAGGTGGGTAACTCGCAGGCTGTCACTCCTGGTTTGTGCCTTCATCTCCTTCCTCCCCCTCCGCAGGCTGCTCTGAAAAGCAGGGGTGGCACCAAGAGCCCTCAATTGGAGGGGAGGAGAGCAGCGAAGGTTTTTAGTGATCAGCCAGGGATGCCCATGACTAAGAACACCTTCCAACTGTATTCCTGTCCTGTCCCCCACCCAGTCGAGATCATCCACAGCGTAGACCTGTGTCTCTACCCCGAGAAAGCCCTTGCTCTGCCTTGGCGCAGCCTTCCCTGCCTGCACAAGCTGTATTCTCCCGTCCATAGCTGCCCTTCCACAGGGTCTGCCTGAACTTCTGTCCCTGTAAACCCAAGCCAGATGCCGAGAGCAGGGACTGTCACGCTGGGGAAGCCGTGCTGGGTCCCGCGCCTCCCCCCAGGGGCCCCAAAACCCACCCTGCTCCCTCTGCCCTGGCAGGTTCTGGTTCCGTCTCTACTGGTTTCCCCTCAAGGTGCTCTACGCCACTTGCTACTCCAGCCTCCAGTCAGTCCCCAATATCCCCTTCTACTTCTTCTTCAATGCTCTGCTCCTTGTCCTCACTCTGATGAACATCTACTGGTTTCTGGTGAGTAGGGGGAGCTCAGCACCCCCTATGCTTGCTTCTCCCTCTTCTGCTGCTCCTGCCCCAGTGCCTGCTGCCCGCCTGTCCTGGGGGCGGCCGGGGGGGACTGCAGGGATGGGGGGGCTTTGGAGGATGGAGGGGAGGAGGGAAAGCCATGCCAGTGCCCGGGGGGCTCCTCTCTGCTTGGAATTCAAATGGTCTCGCACCCTGGGGATCCACAGGGAGAGAGCGATAACAGCGGCTGGGGCAGGCTGGAACTTGATAGGGGTGCAAATGCTCTGGCATCCCCTGAAGCTTTGGGGAGGGGGTGAAAAGGGTGGACTTGGAGGGCTCGCACCAGCAAGCTCAACCCTGGGCAGAGCTGGGCAGCATCTGAGTTCATCATCCTGCGGGGATGGAATTGGTTGGGGGTGGTTGCAGGATGCTGCAGGTCATCAACCACATCCCAGGGCTTTGGCTGTCCCCGAGGGATCTGCCCGGCCCTTCTTGGGGTCGGGGACAGTGGAGGAAGGTCCCACTTAGCAAATGGGAGCGAGTAGGTCGGGTGGAGCAGCTCGAAGCCTCGTGGCTTGTGGCTGACAGTGTCTCTCCTCCCACAGTACATCGTCCTGTTTGTGGCCAAGGTGCTGATGGGGCAGATGCAAGAGGTGAACGATGTGCGCGAGTACGACGTGGAGGACAGCAAGAAAACCACGACAGCCAAGAAGAAAGAGGCTGGACTCCAGCTGCCCAATGCTCTGAAAGAAGGGTATGTGGGCGGGGGGGGGATTACACATGTGCACAGCATCTGTACCCACAGTACATCGTCCTGTTTGTGGCCAAGGTGCTGATGGGGCAGATGCAAGAGGTGAACGATGTGCGCGAGTACGACGTGGAGGACAGCAAGAAAACCACGACAGCCAAGAAGAAAGAGGCTGGACTCCAGCTGCCCAATGCTCTGAAAGAAGGGTATGGGGGCGAGGGGGGGATTACACACGTGCACAGCATCTGTGGGCGAGGGCAAGGGTGCTGGCAGACCTCCCAGGGCTCTGGAGCTGCTTGCAGAGGGTTCACCACGGGGCTGGAGAACGGAAGAGCAGCAGGGTGCCCTGACACGGAGTATAAAGCGTTGCTGCAAGCATCAGGAAGGACTTTGTCCCACCCTGCCTAGGCGCTGGGGTGCGTCCATCCATCTTTCTGCCCCGTGAATCCTCACCCGCCCCGTCCCCTGCTCGCCACGTCGGGCTGGCTCTTTGCTTGAGGCTGTTCTCTCTGAGCAGCCTCTGCGCTTCACGAAGCCTGGCGAGGCGCTGGGTCCTGCAAAGCAGGTCGGGCTGACAGGGGGCAAACGGCCTGCGTGAGCCTGTCGAGATGGGTCTGAGCTCAGTAGTGATTTGTGAAAGGAAGAAAGGGGGAGAGTCTGTGCGGAGGCCGAGGCTCACCGTCTGCTGTGCTCTCTTTCGCAGGATGCACCTGAAGAACGGACTTGTGAAAGACAAGCGGTTGTAAGGGGAGCGTGGCTGCCGCAGCCTGGCTGGATCTGGGGACTGACCCAGGACCCTACGCTCAAACCCAGCGAATGAAAGGCACAAGGAGAACTTTTTATCCCTGATACCCCTTCATCCCCTGCCCGGAGCCGGGGAAGAGATGCCACTGACTGGATCAGGCCCCTCCTGGGGCTTGCCCGTGACCAGGCTTCACCTGATGCTGATGTGCTTTCTGTAGCCAGTCCGTGCTGGTTCAGCTCAGAGGCTGGTGGCTTTGCTGGTCCAGGTAGGATTTGGAGCTGGCTTTAGGTCCCCTGGTGTTTCTTCTGTCACTCCGTCCCTCGGCTGTTCTCAGTCCCTTCGTGATTTCCCCTGTCTTTATTGTCAGACCTTCCCACCGACCCTGCCTCAGCAGCCCTGAAGGGTCCCCTGGCCCAGCGTCAAACTGGGGAGGGAAATGTCCTCTCCTCCGCTGGCATCGCCGTCCCAGACGAGGGGAGCCCCAAAGCCAGCTCTTCTCCAGCTGCCAGGCAGGGGCTAGCAAGGTGATGGTGCTCCCCTGAGCCTTCCTCCTCAGGGGGGGCCTGCTGGTGCGGAGCCACCCACGTATGTCTGGAGGCACAGCACAGATCCCATGTGCAGATCTGCCTGGAAACCCAACCCCGGAGTGTTATTCCAGCCTCCTGCCCTGCCAGATGAGGGCCTGGAGATATAATTTGCTTCAAAAGCCTGTGTAAGTCTTATAGTTGCTTAAAAAGCCAGTCCCAGTCCTGCAGGGTCCCCCGAGGAGGGGTCTCTGGGCTCTCGCCCAGTAACGTCCGCTGCTCCAGTGAAGAGCAGACCGTTTCTGCTCCCAGTGTTGGTTTTCCAGGCAGCGCCAGCCCTGAGCCTTGCAGGGTCCCCGAGGCTGGGCTGGGTGCCTCTGCGCTGGGAAACCCCATGGATTTTACAGCCCCTCTGACCACGACTGCCCCATTGCTCTCCCCTTGCGGGGCCAGGACCCGCAGCGCCCGTGTGCTCCCGGGAAGCAGAGCTCCATCCCAGCCGGGGGCAGCCGGCAGCGGAGAGGGATCCAGGGCATTCATTCCAGCCATCAGAGGGTGGTTAATTGGTTTTTTTTTTTGTGGAATTTTTTTTTTCCTTTTCTTTTTGGTCTGTTGTATTGATTCAAGTTGTGTGAGCCACGAGGAAAGTTCCTCGGTAAACAAAAAGCTAAATGTGACTTGGGCTGATGGAAACGGTCCCAAGCCGTGGCAGGATCTGTCGCCTTCTCGCTCGTCGGTGCCTAGAGGGCTGCGTCCCGGTGCTTCGGTTCTTTGGCTTTCGAGTGGGATTTGCAGGAAGGAGGGAATGAAGGGAACTGATATCTCAGGCCTCTTTCTGCTCGGAGTTGGGGCAGTGACGGTGCTGAGTTGGGGTAACGGCGGTACCCAGGCAGCACCCGTGTGGCTAAACCGAATTTTATAGCACCGGCTTGCCCAGGCTTCAGCGTTTCGCTGGGTAACTCGCCGGCCGGCACCGCGCGCGTGTCACGTCAGGTGGGCTGTGCTGCTTCAGTTCTGCTGCGATGGCCAGACGGTGTGGGAGCTGAAGCAAGGGTTTGATGATTTGGTGTGCTGGGGGCTGATGAACTTGAGAGAGAAGTGTTGGATGCTGTGGTTGAACGAAAATCTGGTTTGGGAGGAGGGAGCGAGAGGAGCCCCTGGTCCGTGACCCTCCCCTGGGTCTGGGTGGGATGTCCGCAGTGGGTGGCAGCAGCGCTCACCTCGCCGGCAGCTCTGCGCGGGGAAGAGCAGCCTCTTCCCTGCCACCACGGACTTTCTTGTTGGACCTCGGTGGTGTGGAGATGTGGGAGAGACTGCGGGAGCTCTGCGGGCAGCTGCCCTCCTGCCCCACAGCCTCAAAGGGTTAACAGGTCCCGGGGGGGAGCCTGGAGGGACCGTTCACACTCTCTGCCCAATCCTGGGAATCCCTCTGTGCTAATTAAGCACTAACCAGATCAGAGGCTCCAATCAGGCAATCAACACCCCCCTGGCCCCTGTCTTCAGGTCCCCGGCCCAGGCTGCTCTTTGTCTGCGGGAAGGAGAGCAAAGCAATGTGGCTTCTCCCCACGCATGCCAGCCTTAGAGCCAGCCTTGCCTGGGCTCTGCTGAGCGTGGTTCTGGCGATGGAGTTAAGCTTGCAGGAAAGTTTGCTGTTAAAATCCTTGGGTTTGAGTGCCAAGCCCAGCCCAAAAGCCCCCGTTCCTGTGCCATCTGTGCTCTGGAGGATCTTCCAGAAGAGAAAGACGCTGCCTTCTGCAAACAAAGACCTGGCGGATGCTTGTAGGGTGGAGGAATTTAATGTCCCTGGGAACATCATCCGTGTCTTCGCTGACCAAGGTACAGAAACTCTGTGCTTGGGGTCCTGCCTTTTGGAAGCCCCTCTGATCTCTGGGCTGGGAGGCTTTGCTCCACTCCTTCCTTTTCTGTCTCTTGGCTGTAGGTAGGAGAGGCTGGAGGAGGATGGGGCAGGGGCCTGAATAGATCTCCAGGAGAAATCACTGCTGTGTAAGCTCTGGTCCCTCTGGATGTTGTAGATAATTATTTGCAGTTTAGAAATGAGTTTGTAGACGAGGCAGCGGGCGAGGGAGTGGAGCTGTGTAAGGCTCCGTCCTGGAGTCCCCTGCTGCAGCCCGGAGGTGCCGGGTTGATCCCAGGCTTGACCCATCGGGCTGGCGACGATGGAGGTGCCTCCTCGCCCAGGCAGTGGTCAATGTGGCTGTGGGTGCAGCGAGTGAGACCAGCACCCACCTTTGGGTGGGGAAGGGATGCTCGGCCATTTGGCTGCATCTCCCCGCCCCGCTTCGTCCTCGTGCCCCCGGCTGACCACGTGGCACATCTGGCTGCTTCAGCCGTGGCCTCTCTGCCCCACTCTCAGTTACGTGGGAACCATCTGCTCGGTGTCCTCCAGGTCTCAAGATGCCATGGAGCTTGCTCCTCTTGTGGTTCCAGGTTTCCAGTGGAAACCTCAAGGCTGGCTGAAACAGGCAGCTTACCAGCTCCTAAAGTTTGTTGTTATCTGCCCTCCTTTCCCCTCCATCCCAAATGGCCAGTGCCCACAACCACTCCCCCGTCCTGGGATGAGATATTTACAGCTGGGGAAAAATAACGCACCAAGACGTTAAGTAGCATCTGGAGGAGATGCTGGAATGGCTGTAGCATCCCAGTGCCGCAGGCTGCAGCCCAGGCTAGCATCTGCCCCTCCAGACCTTTCTGAGGGCCGTGCCACCCGCCCCCCCGCCACTGTCAGCCCCATCTTCCTCTTGCTGTGCAGCCAGGAGCTTCAATTGGAGCACCGGGAGGCTGATCCTGCTCAGCCGAACAGGGCCCAACCACCACCACCTCTATTTCTCCTTCTTTGTCAGGCCACTTCATTCCTAACGGGCAGCCCCAGAGGTTGCTGTGTCTGCAGAAGCGTCTCTACTTTAACCTCTCTGTGCTGGAGGAGGGCGAGCGCTTGACGATGGCTCAGCTGGAGATCAAATTCAGCCACAACTCCTACCACACCTCCAGCCAGAGGCAGGTTTTTGAGCTGAGGCTCTACCAGACCTCCCAGATGTCTCTACGGGGGATGCATTCCCATGAGCACAGCCGAAAGCTGCTGGTGGAGCAGTCCTTTGCCCAGCTGCACAAGTCTCTTCTCTTCAACCTTTTTTATGCCTTGAGAGCGTACAGCATGAATCTGGGCCTGATCCTGGAGATCTCGGTGAGCGGTGGCAAGGGTGCATCAGCCCAGGCGAGCAGGGGGCTGCAGAGCCTCTGCGCCAGCATCGACTCCTTCCTGGACACCTCTCTCCTGGTGGTGACCCTCAGCCAGCAGCAGTGCAAGGCTTCCAGGAGGAGGAGAAGCGCTCACTACACCCCCGTCACTCCGAGCAACCTCTGCAAGCCCAGGCGGCTCTACATCAGCTTCAGCGACGTCGGCTGGGAGAACTGGATCATCGCCCCGCAGGGCTACATGGCGAATTACTGCCTGGGCGAGTGCCCCTTTCCCCTGACGGCGGAGCTGAACAGCACCAACCACGCCATCCTCCAAACCATGGTGCACTCGCTGGACCCGGACGGGACCCCCCAGCCCTGCTGCGTCCCCGTCAGGCTCTCCCCCATCTCCATCCTCTACTACGACAACAACGACAACGTGGTGCTGAGGCACTACGAGGACATGGTGGTGGATGAGGGTGGCTGCAGATAGCGGAGCGGCGGGGGGAGCGCGTGCCGCGGGGTCCCGGCTGAAGCGGCGAATGAGTGTTGGAATAAATCCAAGTGTGTTAAATCCCCTCTGTGCTGGTGGTCGGGGAGTTTCCCGCTGGTGCCTTCTCCACATGCGGCCGGGGAGGAGGTCTGGCACGAAGGGCTCATCGCGGGAGTTGCAATTTCGTAATCGCTGGGTGCTGGGCCCTCCCAAGCAGCTGCCTGCTGCAGTCAGGGGGCTGGTATGGGATTATGATCACGTCTGATGCTGGTTGTCTATTCCGTTCTCCGGGGGCGATGGCAGCACCAGGCTGTGAATCCCAGACCCCTCCTGCTGGGCCGAGCTGCTGCTGGTGCCAGCGAGGCACCCATGCTGGAGAGCAGCAGCAAGGGCTTGTGCTTTTCGGCTTTTTTTGGCTAAATGCTGCAGCTTCCTTAGTGCAAAAAGGAATTAACCTTTTTTTTGTGTGTGTGAGATGGTGCTGGTGGTTCCCTGCTGCCTGTGTGCAGCGAGGAGGCGAGGCGGTGGCTCCGGTCCCGCTGCAGGCAGGGGTATGGTGTCACGGCAGGAGCTGCGTCACCGCGGCTCTGGGTGACTGAATCCCTCCCCGCAGCGGAGGCAGAGCCGGGAGGAGCGCGGGTTTCGCTTTTGCTCTGGGCGCTCAGGCCTGAGCTATTTGGAGTGGGTGGTTGGCGATGGGGGGTTTGGGGGCCGGGGGGTACGTGGGTCGGGGGGGCTGGGGGGCCAGA